AAAGCAGTTTTCGAAATGTGGAGCCTGCAGCCAGAATTGCCGTGGGCACAGGATCACTGGCCAATTAAGAATTCAAACTCTCTCTGAATTCTATTACAAGGAAGCAATTGTTACTTTTTCTGTCTTCTGCTGTTGCTTTTCTTTTTTTGTTTTTTTTGATAGCTCTTGATTTTCACAATATTTTCCTCCCTTCTTTTCAGAAGAGAATTGTGTATTCTAGAAAGTTGAAGGTGGACAGGATCCTGGCAAGATCCTTATCTCTATCCTGAGGGAAGAGCATTGTGCATGGATGCACATTTACTAGGCCACCCTGCTAATATTTCATCTCTGACTGGGAGGGAGGGCAAACAAGAAGGGCAAGGAAAATACAACATTCTGCACTGTAACTAGCTATTCGTGAAGTGACTCCATGTAAGACACTATATACTTCAAAATGAAAAATGCTAGCATATGGAATGAAAGGAAAAAAGAAAAACACAGACTCTGTTTTACCTGCCTACTGCACACCTCAGCTCACTCTTTCTACCAACTCTACTGCCTTTCCACAGAATAAACAATTTTTGCATTTTTTTCTACACATTTTCCAGACATCAGGCATTTAATGGTGAAAGGCAGCATTGAGATTTAGCTACTTTAGCACCTTAGATAAAAAATGCTGAGCAATTCCAATTGCCTGCTGTTGATCCTTGCTCCCTAAACTATTAATAGTGAATAAGAGATGCTCTATTCCTCCACCTCTTGGACCAAATAGTTTGGGAGGTGTGAGTGGGTATCACTGAATGTGAGCAACATTTGTGTTAGGGATTTACAATAAGGTAAAAAAAATCAGGTCACAAGGATCAGCCTTTCAAACTTAGTCTGTAATATGCTGGACTGAGCTTTTTGCAAGGGGTATGTCTAGTTTCTGACCAGTCAAGGTGGCATTCACCAACTCTGACTTTGAGAACAAAAGCAAAACTTTTACAACAAATTGATGCTTTCCCAAGATGCTGACTTGGAAACTCATTTTTGCAGGTTAAGATGTCAGACTGAAGGCAATTGCCAATGTTCACGTAAAGAGACAGAGGAAACAGATGTAGACTACTTAGCAGGATGCTGTGAAGTAGATAAGGGCTAGAAATGGGAAGGAAGAAAGCACATTTATTCTGCAGTATTCTGTAAAGGGGTAAGAACTGATCCTCCTGCTGCAGGCAACTGCAATCAAATTAGTGGATGTTGCCAATTAGTCTGCTGCAATTTTAATTCTGTCCTGTCCTAGAAGTGAATAAACACTTCTGTGTGGCACCAGGCAAGCAGTGCATGGGACTAACTCACACAAGCAACACAAGGGCCTTATCTATATGACCATATGGGAGCAGAACCTGATCCATACTATTCCTGCTCAACTGACCTGGAGCTTTTCACATTGCATCATTGCAAAATTATACATACCTTTCCAACATGGGCTAACAGGCTATCTCCACCTGGTGTGGCCTCACATTTGTCTAGGTATCCATAACTGCAGTTAGCTTCAGGTGGTTGAGGGGATTCTGTGTATTCACCTGTTATTTATTGCAATTAAGTCTAAAATGAGCTCCATCAGACATGAACTCTGCACACATTACAGCCAATGTGCACACATCTGCATATGTCCCAGGCCAACCACACACCATAAACTACCATAGTTAAGAACAGATACAAATGTTGAACTGTTGGTGGAAAGAATGTATTTATTAAACACATAAATACAGCATCACTCTCTATGGCTGAACAGGGAGAGATGGCTGCTGGATGTGTTAGGATGTGATGAGGTCTCTGAAGAGTAATGGACAAAACCTCCTTGCACAGCATATTTCAAATGAAGCTTGGGAAAAAAGCTGGGCAGGAAGATACTGTAAGAAACTGTCTTAGCAAGGTCCCTGGAGCTTTCTGCGTCTTTTCCAGCTCTAATTTCCGTGATGCTACAATTCTGGACATCGGCAAAAGTAATTGTTGTGAGACTTAGCTTGCAAGATAAGGCAAAAAAAAAAAAAACAGCCAAGTGTTTATTCTCAGCTAATTTCTTTTCAGCAAAGCCAATCCTTTTTAAAAAGGTCCCAATGAATTTTAAGGAGGTGTTCTGCCTGGTATCTCAAATGAAAAAAACTTGAGGAATTCACAGCATCTGCATGTTTCCACATGTGCATATATGCAACTGCCTACCTGCATCTCATCCCCACTAATACTAAATATCTAAAACTGTACCTTATCTGTAAACTCAGTGGATTACAGAACTACTAAGTTACTACACAGAGTTGTTCCATAGTTAGAACAGGCTGAGAAGAGGAAAGAAGTCCAAATCAAACCTCTCCTTGAGAGGAAAACTGACATTTAGGCTCAACCATGTCACCCATCACTAGAGAATCCATGCAGGACAGCAGGCTCTGCTGCACACAGAAACATTTTTTTCTCTTCACAGTACATAAAAGAAGGTGACTCCCTGTATGGCAGAAATTACTGGATAATACCTTTAAAGTATATTTATCAACAGAAAAAACTGCTGTTGATTCATATATTTTCTTTTCTCTATGCTGACACAAAAACTTATGAATGTACAAATAATTCTGCATCTACTTCTCATCCAGTTAATAGGTCTTAGCCCTTTAAAGTCCTCTGACATTTCCTCCCCAAGCTATATATAAACCCCAATTAATATAACCAAATATTTATGAAATATACTAAACCCAGCACATAACCACACAATTTTTTGAGTTAAACCATGACAGGTTAGAAGGCTGAAGATCCTTATTCATAGTCTTGTCAAGGTTTGAAAGGGGTATTAGCACAGGCAGGGCATGTGCTAGAGGTGTCATCTTAATTTCCCAGTGTTGCCTGAAATAACTTCTCATGGGGACTGAGGCTCATGCAGGGAGCATGTCAACTATGTCAATCCAGCACCTGGTAGCAGGTAGCTCCCAGGTGCAGTCACATTTCTGCTGCTTACTTAGGAACTGAACAAGCTGCTCCCATGCAGCCTCCTGCTCCTGAGTCATTGGAGTACAGCTGATACAGGCTATACAAAACCAGTCCTGAGGGCTTATCCTAATTGAATAGGAAGCTTTTTTTTTGCCAAGTCCTAGCAGCAGCAGCAGCATCGGGATATGGTGGAAGTAATGAAGCATCAGCTCATCAAGTTAAGATATTATGGTCTTGAAGACATCGGAGAGCTTGAGGGCATGATATACCATCAGCTCTCTATCCCATATGCAGCCAACACAGACAGTGATGCTTTCTGGAGGGCATTTCTAGAAAGGACAGAGGGGATTTACCTGGGATTTAGAGGTCTGCAAACCTCATGGTGGACAAATTTTAAACATATTCCAACAGCAGGGTTTGATTATCTTTTGTGTCCTGCAGGAAGGGATACCTTTTGCAGGACACTTTTATTTTTATTTTAAATATTCTAAACTTCAAGTCCTTTGATGAAACAGGAAGGAAAGTATATTTTTGGATTTTTCTGTTTGGTTAAAATTAGTTCAGTGCCTTCTATATTATAAAGCCCAGTTAATTAATGCTTTCCCAGTGCTTGGCTACTCTCCTTTGAATGTGATGTACATGGGGAATTGCTATATATTGCTTTAGTTTTTCATGAAACATGAATCAGCCCTGTTTCATATCACTTTAGAAAAGCAAAGTACATGCTCATAGAAGCCTTCAGCTCAGCCCAGCAATCATATAGCCAAAGACTTCTCTAGAAGTCCTTCTCTCCCTCAAAGAAAATGTTTGTACGGCACCTAATATACCTTTGAGTTTTTCTCCCAGAGAAAGTATCTTAAACATGACCCATTCAAGCAATGTTTTACATCAAAATAAGGATCCTCAGTTCACTGTGTGTTTAATTGCCCTCATTTGTATGAACATTTTCCAGCTTCAAATATGACATGCCTGAAATGCTAAGGCTCAGTGATTCAGCTATTAACAGAGGCCTAGGCAGAATACCTAGTGCCTCTGAAAAGCTTCAGAGTGAGAGCATCATTTAATAAATGAATGCAGCAGTAGATGGATAAAAATAAAACTTAAATTGTCCAAGGAGGAGTTGCCAGTATGAAATTTGGCACAGACAATATGTATAGGATTTGCTGATGAGCCCCATAAGCTTATAGGCATTGTGCATTATATTAATTAAGGAAGAATGAATCTCTACATTCCCTGTTGCAGGATATTGTGAAGAATCACCCTGGGATAACATGTAACATTCTGGAAATGAATTTGTGGCTCATTTCATGCATTTTGGAGAAAGACAATGTGAAAAAACAGATTTCTGTCACTAACCTTTTGTGACAGTTGTTTCTTTGCATTTCAGACACTAACCTGAAGAGAACAAATGGCTTATTTCATTCCTTGACTTTTAATCATCAGCCAGGAAAAGAAGAGAGAGAGAGCAAGGAAGAAGAAGGGTAAGGAGGAGAAAGACAAAGGAGAATAAACTACTCTGTTCTGGACCAGCAAGCAAAAATGCATCAATGTGTCTCCTTGCTCTCAAAAACTCACACTCAATTAGCTGCTGAGAGTGAGATGCTCGTTTGCCCCAACATCACAAGAAGAACAAACAAAGAAGCAGGAAACAAAAAGGATTCTGGTAGCAGACAAATATGT